TAATTTTTCAACGTCAATTCTGCTTAAGCGCAAAACTTTATGTAACAGTTTACTTTTAAGTATCAAATGTTATTTTTATATATTAAAAATATATTGATTGAGAATAAATTATAAATATTTTACTATAACATAATAGCATAGTTAAATCATTTCGTTTTAATGTACCACAGAAATATGAGTAATTAAAAGTGTGTAGGATTACATGTGTAAATCTTAAATAATTTCCTTCTCTCTTAAACAATCCGAAATAGTTACTACAGTAATTAACTTTTACCATTTAATCTTTTCATTTGATCTCGATTTACGATATTTATGATCCTTTCGTTTAACTGCGTTTGCCAACTCTTGAAAATGGATATTGGTTTTTATTAAAGTTATAACGAACAGTATTTATCAATTTTTATTTCTTGCATGTTGTTGCAGTTGTTGTGAACAATATTAAGTGATATTGAATACACATAAATTTCATACGACATTAATTGCATTCTTCATTTTCAATATTCAAGAGTGTAAACAATCGCTTTGATAATAAAAAATGGGCTATAAAAATAGGCTGTTTGTATTGGATATAATAACTTATTTAAAGGATACATTTGCACACAAGATTAAAAGGAAACCTTCTTCAAGTTCATCATAACTATTGAGAGCATGATTACGTTTTTGAAACACAAAATTTGAAGATCTTCAGTTTTAATCACTGGGAATCAAGAATTACGGACATGTAGAACTTGATTAGTAAAAACAACGAGCACTAGTTAATGACTCCTGGCGATACCATAGGAATTTTTTTATAAAATTTTGCAAAAATTTTAGAATATTATTAAAATCGCAACTCTTGAATTTGTGCCAGGTTGATGGTGCATTATTCAGCCACAATGATCACTTTTATTCAGAATATACAGTGCATTCGTAAAATTTCATTTTCAACGAAAATTTTATCCATGTGTTTTATCAACCGTCCTGTATTTTGAAATGTTTTCTATATTTCTTTTATAAATTGAAGACATAACAGAAATAATATAAATTTTAAAATTTTTAGTTCGTTCTTTATAAAAAGGTACCATTATACTGTATAGTACATGTTTATTTGAGATTTATTATTATACTTCTAAAGTCAATATTTTTATTATACGTGTATTATATTAAGAACTTTATGTTTCATCCTATTAAAATTTATAATTTTATTATTGCAATCATTAGAATTTTGGTGCAAATTATTTGACAGATTAATACGCCACCAACCTGGCACACATTTAAGAATTGCATTAAAATCTGTAAATTTTATGGATTTAAATAATAAATTAAATACTTCAAATAATAAAAATAATTGATAGTTAACGTTAACTTATATACTGTTGAACCTCTCAAGCCGATCCTGGCAAAATTGATAAACTGTCAAAATTGATAAAAAAAACAATATACAACCTCTGTATCTGCCATATGAATATAATAATTTATGATGCTTTCAATCTTGATAAACTTTCAATACTGATACAAAACCTGTCAATCATATGACTGTGTCGGTAGGTTTACAGTATACCCGTATGAAAAAATTTCGAGCCAGGATTTGCTAAACATTCATTATATGAACTTGCGTGCTAAAAAAAAAAATAATAATAATAATAAATTTAATGTTAGGTGAGGGCCAGAAAACACGTATTTTTTAAGGGGAGGGGGTCCTTTTAAAAATAACAGACCTTATATAAAAAAAAAAAAATTAGAGGTCACCTGGGGGGGAGGGGGGTGGCCTTATATAAAATAGAAAACACGTGTTTTCTGGCCCTCCCCTTATTAACTTAAATAAAAAAAAATAGTACATCCACGGAAAATGAAGACCCCAAAACATATTTAGAAGCCCTAAAAAATGCCTGGTAAATTTATTGTCCATGTACATTTTCAAATTCTGTAGATTTCGTCTCTTAACGTCAAAAAAGTTGAATTGTACCTTAAAAAACTTAGCCAACTAAACCATAAAGTCCAATCAAAGATATGTCTTTGCCAAATATAATAATGATATAATGATAAGTTCTTTAAGTTAATAATATCTAACTTGTTAACATATTTTTAACAGTGTTAGGTTCGGAAAACTGCGACTCGGTCGCTTCACAATACGAAAGCTTGTGTAACCAACGTTAGGTAACCATATGAAAGAGGTGTGTTAGATTTGGCTGGTGGGTGATTAAGGCTTTGGTTACTTGAGGTCGGCCAAGTCAGGTATGATAAGTCACATGATTTGGTATTCAAATGAACAACGGTTTTTATGGATATAATGTTAGTGTATTATTATGGACGGTTAATAATGTGGGACTTAATTTTATTAAAGCAAAGACGAAGCATCCACTAACTTTTCTTGGGGTGCTAACGCCTTTATTTATAATACTCAATTTAGTCGCTGATAAATGCGACTTAACATATAATATTTGATAGGCTATCTAAAATTATTTATCGTTTATTTTCTTTAATATTTTTAAGGATATTTAATTTTTAATCATATCCTCCTTTTACTTTACTATCCGCCCCTTCTCATCCTATCTGCCATTTTTGACCCTACATGTACTTAATTGCACTTTGTGCAGATCTGGCATTTCGTGCATTTTTCATGTGATCAGATCATGGGTTTCGGATCTCACATTTACCTTCTACTTAGGTCATGCGTCCCACGTATAATCTTCTTCCATAAGCTGTTGAAGATCGTGCAGTTTCAGCTTGCGCAGGTCGGCGAGCTCTAACTTGGTCGTTCAACAGATCCATCTGAACCCATATTTCAAGAACACGTCATAGATACAGATAGCAGTAAATTCACTGACCTTTGGAGGTTACATGAGTCAGCTAATAACTTTCCAGTAAAATTCCTCCAGGGTCAAATATACGACTGCCTACTTCATTTTTGGCAGCTCCAGCATCATATCCATGCTTCACTTCGGAGTCACTGTTCGATTTTTCTTTCCTTCTGACTTCAAGATAACACAACCCAACTTTAATCGTTCCTTTAGCATTACCAAGGTCAGCAGATTTCTGACAATGACTAACTTCTTTGGCTTCATTCAGTATAACTCTGATTTCTTCTTTATAACCACCATTCGTTATACCTTTAGCTTCAGCAGATTTTCTCCTGGTAGGCTTTTTTACTTTATCAGTGTTATTAATACCAGCAGAGTCTTGAGAGCGATCAGGTACTTTGCAATCATCTCTTTCAACGTCATGTCTTTTCTTCAGTATTTTCTATTTCTACTTTACTTCGATAACAGTTTCCACTGTTCGACGTGTTTTCGGGTTTTGCCAATAAGTTTTCAATTTCCCTTTCTCCCTTCTGATCCCATTTATCTAAGTCAAGTTTCAAAGCCGTAGGCGTGGAGTTCTTGCAAGGTGCCTTGGCTAATGCCTTTTCTTCAAATCCAAGACCATTCAGCTTCGTTGCACCAGCATTCTCTATTTCAACTAAATTTGGTAACCGTCAGCATTACTCATTTCAGCAGTTTTCAAGCTCCACTCAAGATTAAGAGCGTTACCCATATCGGAGCTCTAGTATTGACCAAAATCTCAACTTTGTTCTTTTTAGTTTTGATTCTCTTTCGTTTATCCCTTTCGACTTCAATTTCTTTTTGACCACAATCATACGTTTCTTTGGCTTTTGTAGGCTTCATTCGTGAAGGTTCTTTCGCTTTATTATAGGTCTTTCGGAATTTATTAACTCTTAGCAGCCATTTTTCGCACGAACGATTTAGAGTTTCTCCTTCAAGGATCGGCTTAGTGTTGTCGTCTTCCAAGTTACTTTCAGCAGATTTCTGACACCATTCGAATGTTTCATCCCTTTTAACTTCATCTTTATTTTTATAACAAGGTCCAACCATATGGGTTCCATCAGCGTTTTCTATCTCTTCTGTTTCTGTTTCCTGTCCATTTTGATGACGGTTTCCAAGAATTCAGCATATATTACCGTTCATTTCGATATGGTTTCTTGTTCTCTTTGATTCATTTATCTCTTTACCCTTTTCAATGTCGTTTCCACTTTCTGCAGATTTTTGACAATAGGTAAATGCACTATATCCATTCTTTTTAGCTCTGATTCTGTTCTGATCACAATGCTCCTCATTTTTATTTCCATCTGGGGGTTCTTGGATGGCCTCTTCTTTTTTCGGGGTCCATTTCTGTATGAGGTCGTCATATTTGGCAATAATTCTTGGAGGAGAGACTCTAAGTCAGTTTCTCTTTCTTCAAAACCAAGGTCATCATTTTCAAAAGGTTCTTCCGGAGTGTAGTAAATATCAAGAATCTTGGTCACTGGACCTTTTTTTGAACGGGGTTGTATCGGGGAAACTTTCGGGCCGGGTACTAAAGGTGGGCTTTTCTTCTTTTGACTGGGTGAAGTTACTTGTATACACGAAGGCAAGTATACTATATTGCTTTGTTATCACCCTCTCTACTTGGTAAATTTATACCAAGGTATATTGCCTTTTCAGCTTGGGACTCTGGAGATAATATTTGAGGCCCATAGGATGAGAGTACTTGCAAGAGACATTTTTAGTGAGCACATTTAGGTTCGAAGGCAGGTACACACTATCTTTTGTATTTTCTTCACCATCTAACGAAGTTATATCTTCTAGCACTTCCACTAAAAATTTCAGCGCTTGGGGAATCTGTTCATCGTCGAGGTTACGGTTCCCAAATGCCTCATCAATAACTTCTTGAACTTTGTTGACTTGTTCTTCGGTAATTATAGAGAAAAACCTTGCACATTCTTTCTCTAACTTTTCTACATCTATGCCTTTATTAGCCATATATCTTTTTCTATTATTTGAATGCAGGATCTTTTTTTCTTTGTACTTCCAGGGCTTTCTATTGTTTTGTAAACTTCCTAAGGCATGATACAGCAGGGGCAGAGTTTCGTTCTATTCAAGAATCGTGATTGGCATCTCATCTTTACTAATTCACTTGCTTTTTCTTTTCGAATCTCACAGTCACAACCAAAATGTTAGGTTCGAAAAACTGCGACTCGGTTGCTCCACAATACGAAAGCTTGCATAACCAATGTTAGGTAACCGTATGAAAGAGGTGTGTTAGATTTGGCTGGTGGGTGATTAAGGCTTTGGTTACTTGAGGTCGGCCAAGTCAGGTATGATAAGTCATGTGATTTGGTATTCAAATAAACGACGGTTTTTATTAAGGTTACGGATATAATGTTAGTGTATTATTAGGACGGTTAATAATGTGGGACTTAATTTTATTAAAGCAAAGACGAAGCATCCACTAACTTTTCTTGGGGCGCTAATGCCTTTATTTATAATACTCGATTTAGTCGCTGATAAATGTGACTTCACATATAATATTTGATAGGCTATTTAATATTATTTATCATTTATTTTCTTTAATATTTTCAAGGATATTTAATTTTTACTCATATCCTCCTTTTACTTTACTATCCGCCCCTTCTCATCCTATCTGCCATTTTTGACCCTACATGTACTTAATTGCACTTCATGCAGATCTGGCATTTCGTGCGTTTTTCATGTGATTGGATCACGGGTTTCGGATCTCACAACAGCTAATAAAAATCATTTCAAAAGAAAAATTACAAATTAATGATAAATTTATAAAATTAAAATTAAAAATATACAAATTATATGTAAAATTGTTCAAAGAATATTTTTTGCTATTAAACAAAAAATAGATTCATAATTAAAATTTGTAGTTATAAACGATTTTTTAAAAATCTTAATTATTTTGATTTTTTTATATTATATATACAATCCAATATTTAATAAATAAATTGCATAACAAATAACTATCATTTATAATAACAAATAAATTTGCTGTTATCGTTATTCATTTAAACATTATAATTATTTTTTATTTATTAAAAAATATGTTTATTATATATTTAAAATATTTTAATTATATTAATTCTTCTGTATTATAACTTATAATATATTTTAAAAATATTTTAATAACTTAGATATTATTGTGATAACAGAAAAATACTTGCAATATTTTTATAATATATCTAATATATTTTTGAAATATATTTATTATATTTCTATTTTAATAATATCATAATAATATGGTAAATATATAATATTTATAGTTTAAACATATTTAGAAAAAAAACATAGGTTTCTGTAAAGCAATTCTGGAGAGCTTAACAAATTAAACAATACCGATCATTAGCCTTTGATAATTTTTTGAGTTTTTTAAAAAAAAAATTCTATCTACTCGACGGACGAGTGTAATTTCGCAGAAAAAAAAGCAATATTTTATAGTCCTTATTCAGGGTAACAAAGGTAATTAATCTTTTTATTTTTTTATTTGCAAAATTCCAAATATTCATCGAGGAGTTACGATTTTGCCTTTAGATGATTTGCACCATACTTTACAGCTATAGCCTAATTGGTAAAATTTCTGATTTGTTACACTAAAGTACAAACATGTATGCAGACATAAACGAAATAATTACGTAATAATTTTTAATGTAGCTTTTGTATCACTTGGTTGAGTTAAATGTTCCTCCGTTACACTCTGAACAATTAAAGTATCTATTTTATTTAGTGCATGAATATTTTTCCTTCTTTTAAAAAAAAAAAAAAATGGACCCTGAACAACTTTATAAACTTGGTTATAATTATGAACTCGGTATTGGTGTTAAGAAAGACGAAAAAAAGGCTTTTGAATATTATATGAAAGCAGCTGAGTTAGGAAATTCGAATGCGATGTGTTGTGTCGGTATTTGTTATTCTCGTGGAATTGGAGTAGAGATAAATTACCAGAAGTCATTTGAATATTGTAAGAAATCCGCAGATTTGGATAATACTTTTGGAATGTGTGGCGTTGGTTATCGGTATGAAAATGGAATCGGTGCTTATCAAGATTTTAATAAAGCATTTGAATACTATAAAAAAGCTGTCAATATGGGTAATATAGGAGCAGCGATTAACCTTGCTCGATATTATCGAAATGGTATCGGTATAAAAAAAGATATTCAAAGTGCAAATTATTGGTTTGCAAAATATAGAAGTTATTTGAAAACTAATAAATCACCAGATCATGTTAATCCTGAACTTAAGAGAATATTAAATGATGAGAGATTTAAATTATCTTGGATTGATTATAATGATTTCAGAAATATTAAGGAAAAGGGAAAAGGTGGATTTGCAACTGTATATTATGCACATTGGTTTGATAAAGTTAATAATTTATGGCATAATGTAGCACTTAAGGTAATTCGTGATTCAGACGAAAATGAACAAGAATTTATCCAGGAATTAAAAAATTACTGTGAAATTGGTTACAAGAATCCTTCATTTTTGGAATGTTTTGGAGTATCAAGAAATAATTATGGTGATTATATTATTGTTTTGGACTATGCACCAACAGGTTCACTACGACAAAATCTTGTACAAGTATCACAATTAGAATGGAAAGATAAATTGAGTCTTTTGCAAAGTATAGCTTTGGATCTCGTATCAATTCATTCGCAGGAACTCGTTCACAGAGATTTACACAGTGGAAACATTTTGCAATGGCGTGCTTTGCATACTGCATATATAACTGACCTTGGACTTTCCAGAAAAGAAGAGGAAGGTAAAATTTGCGGAATTCTGCCATATATAGCACCTGAGATTTTGATGGGTCAACCATACACTCAAGCGTCAGATATTTACAGTTTTGGAGTTATCATGACCGAAATTTCAACCGGACAAAGAGCGTTTGACGGAATTCCATTTGATGATTATCTTGTGTCAAGAATAATTGATGGATCAAGACCTAAATGTTTAGGACCTGATTGTTATATTAAATTAGCTATGAAATGTATGGATAAAAATCTTGATAAACGACCTAGTGCAGCAGAAATTATTGAAATAACCACTTGTTGGTTGGAAGAAATAGATCAAGATGATGATAATGAAATTAAAAAACAAATTTTTCAAGCTGATAAGACTAAACCAGAGCCAATTGAAAAAATTCATTCACAACACATATATACAAGCAAGCTATTTGATACTAAAATAATTTCAGATTATTTTAGCAAGATCGAATGATCAAGCTTACTTTTTTAAGTTAAATTATATAAACTATGTGTTTACGTTTATTCTACTTATTAAATGTTCTTATAGATTTATTCGAAATGTTAATACAAATAATTCTCCCATATAATCACACAGGTTTGGCATGGTGCTGTTATTTTTTAAAAAAAAGTGTTTATAAAGAGTTGTGTGTATATAAAAAAAATTTTTTATAATAAATGATGTAATTAGAGGGATGACTACCTGTACGAAATTTCTATCATCCATGAGATACCTGACTTAACAAGAATGCAACTCAATACACCAGCTCGCATTCTTACCATCCTAAAACACTATATAATTTCCTTCTATAATATTATAGCTGATTTGTTTATTTTTATTTGTCTTGTCTAGATTTTAAAAAATGTTCTTTTTGATTATAATAAGACATCATTTGTCACTTTTCAAAGTCAATTCCGTAATAGTTAACTTTCAAATATAAAATAAGCCAATATTCCTTAAGAATGATTTATTTTTATAAGTATAAAAGAAATTTTATATAAATATTTTACTATATCTTAATTACATAGTTAAATAATTTTGGTTAAACGTGCTACAGAAATATGAGTAATTAAGAGTGTGACGGA